TGAAGGCAAGCGAGTTGTTGTCACTGCTAAGGTTAGCTGTAAGGCAACCCTTTATGCTCCTTCACCACCTCGAATTTCGGCACACAGAGGTGGAGGTCCTGAGATCTTCACCCATTGCACACACTCAAGGGCCAATGGTCCATCCACTTAAGCCACACCTCGGGGCAACCCTCATGTTGCCTTGAGCTCGCATCTAAGGCTAGGCCTTCTCGGGCCGAACCCTACATGCACCATGCATTTGCTTTCAACAACCTGGGGCAACGCTAGCTCTATGTCACCCCTAACACATGAGGGTCGACTACTCCATCTTCCCTCCCAGCACACACTCCTTCACCCTGTGAGAGATGGGCTTCTACCTCGTCCCTCACAGACACAAGCTCGTGGGTCTCAGCCTACTCAGGTGGAACCCCTTGACCAAGCCCGGGTCGACCCCCATGTCACCCAGGGGACTAACTCTAAAGATTCAAATGCACCATCTTTGTAGGTCCCTCTCGGATCCAAACACAGGTAGAATCACGGACCTGCTCCTTCCCCTGTCGCTCTTTTGATGCCAGGCAAGCATCTCGAGCCCTTTTACTCAAAGGTCTTCCCTAAGAGTACCATCTTGAGCCAGCCTCAGGCCAGTCGTATACCTAGGCCTAACAAAGGAATACGGGGCAATAGCTTGATGTCAAACAGAGGCCTCCAGCCTCCAAAGTAGAAACCCAGCTTGCCTGCTATCATGGGACCCCATTCTCTGCTCCAAATGATAGACACAGCCCTTGCATGTTCAAAGAAGGCAGGGCAGTCCTGTTATCAGGCTCGGTTCTGGAATGTGGTCCACAGTTGCCTTATGATAATGCAGAAAAGAGGCCTACAGATCCTGACCAGAGAAGCCTCTAAGGCAGTTGAGGTCACTCTTGGTAATCTCCTGTCTCGTAATCCCTTTTTCCCTCTCCAAACTTCGAAACCTAAGCAAATTCAAGAATATTGCTCGGTCATCAAAGCCTAGAAGCCACGGTTCCAAGATCATTGAGAACCGGTCCTCATAAGATCAACATACAAGGCTCGAGTCAAGTCGGGGTAGGTCCAGACTGACTTGCCACCCTGCAACTCCATGCCATGGAAGGGGCAGTCACGAACAGTGACTTTCAACACTCATATCTCGCTCATCCCATGTCAGATCGTGCTCAAATTTGGTGAGCATGTTCTTCTAGTCAAGAGGAATGATTCGATATGAGCAAGTCCCATGATGATACCTGAGGGAGAAGAAAAGCTAGAGAGAGGTTGTTGATCTGTGAAGAAAGTGCAGGAAATTCAGCAGCCATTGCAGGTTTGAGGTCTCAGACAATCGCTAACCCGAACCTCGTACATGATAAAAAGTTGTATTATGCATACAAAGCCGACCAAGCGATTGCAAATTCTGTCCTCGAAATTCCAAATTCGTGCCAAAATTTCAAAGGTGCAAAATCTTCGTTCGGGCACGGAATCGAGCTGTGTTTGTTGCCCTGCAATCGTAACGACATGCTCAATGTAATTCAGCAAAGAAATCACCATAAAACATCAAGGAACAAGTACACTATCGATCCGAAGTTTCAAGATCCATTCAATTTTCAAGTCACATGATTGTGTATTAAAAACACAATCCATGGCTCGAACTTGGTATCAAATCGATTGCCATGTCGAGCCCTAGAAGAAAACAAACATCTTTCGATCAACCGGGCATCAGAATGACCCCGGATCATCCATGCAAGATCACGCAAATTCTAGAGCAACACATGGATTGTTTTAGAATTCCACAAATTGTTAGGAAGGGCAAATCTATCATTTTTCACCTAGAAAATTTATTTTAATTCAATTTCATCTTAATTTTCAGCAATTAGGGTTACTTTTGATTATCCACCCATGTTTGGGGCAATTTATATATATATGTACATCATTGTACGCACCAGAGGACTCTCAAAAGAGTGTTTTAGTTAATACAGTTTCTTTTTCTTCTCATTATTGGGTCACGTTTGAGAGAGAGAGTGAGGTGAGAGAAACTTTTGAATGGTACCCCTAGGTTCGAGGTAAATATTCTCTCTTCTTTTTTCTTTTCTTCTTCTCTCTTTTTCTTTCTTATCTTCTCCATTTTCTTTGTCTGAGTTCCTCATAGAGGTCATGCATGACAGTGGCAGTGTCGTGCATGCCTCCCCTGAGGTCTCACATGTCACGCATGGCGATCGTAGTGCCATGCGCTAGTTTCCTTCTCCTTCTGTTCTTCTATCTCTTTCTTTTAGTGAGGCCTGTAGATGGCGCTGTCCATCGTCGTCCACAGACGTAGCTTCAACATCTAAGTGAAGAAGTCAGACGGCGAAACTCGTTGCCACCCACAAGGGTCCTCCCCTTTTTGCGTGTCTATCGTAGACAACGATAGCCATCACCACCCACTAGAGGCCTCGGCAACATCTACCGTCGTCCCTGAGCTTCCTTCGCGTGTTCAGTGCTTATCGACGTCCTTCCTGCGCCCCACGCTTATCGTTGTGTGCCTCGTGAGAATTGTCGTGTGCTTCATCAGAGACTATCGCCGCCCGTGCGGCTTGTTGTCTCCTTATGTTGCCAACGACGATGCTTAGCACCGTCCGTAGTTCATTTCTCACTCTTTAGCCATGAGCAGTAGTGATTACCGCCGCTCAAGGGCCACAACATTGATACTCCATGGTCATGAATGACAACGCCTAGCTCCATTGGGGCCCCACCTCTCTGTCATCTCGTGTCTTCTTTTCATTCTCTTTTCTCTTCTCACTAGACTGAGGGTAGACTTAGACTAGCTCTGCCATATCGGTCTCGGTTTCGAGTAGTATTACTATTGTGCCGATCCTAAGAACCATGCCTATCTTGCTACCACTCTGAGTCGATAATTTCCCGGCTGTCATGCGAGTGTCACCTCTTTGTCAATGTTTCTTCCCTTTTCTATCTTTATTTGAACCTTACACTTCATCGCCCTCTCGTATGATCGTATGTTGCCCTAAGACAAGGGTGGGTCTATTTGACCCACTTGTCTTGCAAATTAACCAAAGAAGTGTTGTGCAAAAAACAAGAGGATTTCAGGTCAAGGGAGGCTATTTTGAACTAGCTAAAGCAGCTGGGGGGCTTTCTTTGTGATCTAAGAGGGCGCCTAAGCGAGCCAGCCCGAGTAAATCCCGAACCCCCTTAAATTCCTCTCTGAGTGGTTGGTATACCTACCCTTGCCCTGTAGCAAGGTTTTGAGTGAGCGAGCTCAAATCTCGATTTCGTTAGAAACTCAAGATACATTCATTAGATCATCTAGATAAGAAAGGAAGAATCGAAACACCTAACCCTGTGATACTGAAAATATGATATCATGATACTGAAAATATTATACTGTGATACGGTGTCACTGATTAATGTTGTGATTCTGTTATATTGAAACTGTTATATGTTCCATGACCCTACGCAATGGGTCCTCCAATGGTAGTGGATATTGTGATTCTACTAATATTGAAACTGTCATATGTGCCATGAATACTACATAATGGGTCCTCCATTGGTAGTGGATACTGTGATTCTGTTATATTGAAACTGTTATATGTGCCATGATTGCTACGCAATGGGTCCTCCATTGGTAATGGATACTATGATTCTGTTATATTGAAACTATTGTATATGTCATAACCGCTATGCAAGAGGTCCTCCATCGGTAGTGGATACTGTGATTCTGTTATATTGAAATTGTTATATGTGCTATGACCATTATGCAATGGGTCCTCTATTAGTAGTTGGGTATAATGTATCTCGACTCCTATGATACGAGTGGAATCAAGAAGTGACTGTGAATGACAGGGAGGGTCGCGCCCCCCAAATTTTTATGGGCACTATGCATCAGTGCCTCAAATGGTAGTGTAACGCCCTCTCGCCTGAAGGGGTAAGGAGAGGGTCGTGTCTTGCAAGCCCGCAGCCTATCGAAAACCCCAAAGCGCTCTGGAGATTGTGTGCGTGAGTGAGAACATTATGAATGGGACCTCCATTTGTCATTGTCCTTCCTCCTAAAGGAGGGCATAAGTTCCAAGTTACGGGATTGGCTTAGCCTGATTGATGTGACTTTCACTTCTAGAGTAAATAGATATGTTCTGCCTGTTTGAGTCAGGCATTACATGTGAACATCTGACTGTAACTGTGATATGCATAGATGTTTTTTCCATCTCAGGAACAATTGATACTCTGATACATGAATGTTTCTCTCTTTATACGGCAAATATTTATATTCTGATGGATGATCCTATTCTATGATGCCAGTATGATTTTTGATGGACCGTAGACCATGTTATTATGTATATGCATGTAGGTAGGAATACAAGGGTAGTGATCTACTTACTGGGCTTATAGCTCACTCCGCTTATTTTCATCTATGTAGAGTGATAGTACCTTATAATGGGAATCAAGCAGCAAAGTGTTGGTGGTAGACATTTGAAGCTTCAGACCTGTCAAGGATTCCTTCTATATAGTAGGTGTATGATGGAATGCCACCGTGTTGTCTTGATTGATGAATTGTAAAGTTAGGCTTATAAGTCGTAAACAATATTGTAAAGAATCTTGGAGTTTGAATGAATACTTAATGGTTTAATTTTAACTGATGCATGATGTATAAGTTTTATTTAATTTTCGTGGTTTGCTTTGATTCCGCCCTTCTAACATGCATTGAGCCACTCCCACCTCAGTGACGTTCATGACCTTCAGTCGTGATCCCGCACTTTGTCGACCTCCAGGAAGGTATCGTAGGGTCAAGGGGCAGGGTCGTGATAGTTATGGCAGCAGAGCAGCCAGGATAGGTTTCTTGGCCTAATAATTTTTAGAAGTGTCCTTAAAATAGTTCTGGGTATATTAGTAACTGAGTGCTTGTGCGTTAGGTTGGAGATGTCGAGGACTCATGCCAATAATGTGAGCTCCAACAACGAGAAACTGAGGCCCTCGATGAATTCGTCAGAAATTTAGTGGCCATGACCCAGATGATGAAAGAAGCGATGCCGGCCCCATCTACCGCTGCCCCTGATCAGAATGACAGTAGTCTGATAGAGAAGTTTAAGAGGCTAGCTCCTCCGACTTTCTTGGGGCTCAAGGGAGTAGAGAAAGCGGAGCGATGGAGAAGACAAGTATAAAAGAGTTTTGAGGTGTTCCACTGTACAGATGAACAGAATGTTAGGTTGGGAACCTTCATGTTGGAGAGAGATACTGAGCACTGGTGGGGCTCCGTGAAGAAATCATGGGAGCAGTCAGGGACAGAACTAAGTTGGGGAAATTTTTTAGAAGCATTCAATGAGAAGTACTTCCCTGACTTTGTACGGGAAAGAAAGGAGGTGGATTTTATTGAGTTGCATCAGGGAAATCTATCAGTAGAGCAGTATTCAGCTAAGTTTGCTGAGCTGTCAAGGTATGCGCCACACATCATGAATACTGAGGTGCCAAAAGAGAACAAATTTGAGAGGGGCCTTAGGCCAGAAATAAGGTGGAGGGTGATATCAGCGAACATCAAAACCTTCCCACCTTTAATAGACTTGGCTATGAAGATCGAGAGGGATTGTGAAGAGTCCCTGGTTGGGGGAAACTGGAAGATGGGACCAGCCCAATTTAGAAACTTGGGAAGGAAGGCTCGACCACCACCAAGGAAGAACTTCAGGGGAAGAGATAACTAGAGACGTAAGAAGATTCAAAGGACTTTTCTAGGCGACATAAGGGAGAATCGGCGCTCGACATGCCCACATTGTGGGAAGGACAAGCACTCTGTGGCTGAGTGCCGAAGAAGGACAGGAGCGTGCTTCAGATGTGGAAAACATGGCCACCAGATTAGAGATTGCCCAATGAAGGGACCTGAAAACCAATTGAAGATCCAAGGTTGGGAATTTGCCCTCACTGAACAAGAAGCCAAGGCATATGCTTTAGTAATCCTATGTAAGCTCTCTGTTTGTGGCATGGAAGCTAAAATTTTGGTTGACCTTGGATATACTCACTCTTTTGTTGCACGTCACTTTGCATGCCACATAAATATTTGACCTTCACCTCTTGACTGGACATTTGTAGTATGCACACGTATTAGGGAATATATAGAAACTGATATTGTTTACAAAACACTATCGGATTTTGCTTTAAGGGTGTGTGCTGCCTATAAATTTAATATTGTTAGACATTCAAGACTTTGATGTCATTTTGGGCATGGATTGGTTGTCCACACACCATGGTACAGTAAATTTCCATGATAACACTGTAACTTTTTGACGCCTAAACCAACCTAAATTAAGTTTTATGGGTATCAAAGATGTTTCCCCTCTACACATCGTTTCAGCCCTTCGGTCTTCCCGCCTGTTGGCCAAGATATGTATGGGATACTTGGCTTACGTAGTAGAAAATCTGTCCAATCCAAATTAGAATAGATACCAATATTGATAAAATATCCAGAGGTCTTCCCTAAATATTTAACCTCTCTGCCCTTAGTAAGGGAGACAGAGTTTGAAATAGAAGTTGTCCCTTGTAGAAACTCCATTTTAAATCTAGCAAAGTCGGTGGTTTTCTAAAACCTTAGGACTACACTGTCCTAGTAAACCCAAATCCATAATCCACATATCCTACCCTGTAACCTAGAATCATTATGCCTACCCAGAACCCTGTAGATACCCTGTTTTGACACAACAACCTGTAGATGCCTCGTTTTACAAAAAAAATCATTAAAAATAGTAGAAAAATCCTTTCTAACCCAAAATTTCTCGGAGAGCTTTACAAGAGGCCGAGGAACACACCTGGAGTGGAAGTTTTTAATTTGGACCAACTTTGGTTTGAGCGACCTAGAAGTGTCACTTAGCTTAGACTGGGTGACAAGAGTGGTGCCACCCAGCCGACTAGGGCGACACCACTAGTGTCGCATAGCCTTGTTAAGGTCCAAATTGGAAATTTCTTTTGGGCATTGATTTCTTGCCTTTTTGTGGAGTGTTTACCATGTTTGTTTGGGTGACCAAGGAGTGTCGCTCAAACTCGAATCCCCAAAAATGATAACTTTGGTTGGAGGATTTGTTGGTTATGGAAGGATGCCCTTCCCAACTGATCCTTGCCTTTATAAACCCTTTTTCATGGCCATTTAGCAGAGAGAGATTTCTTCTGGGAGAAAGGAAGATTGAAACCCTGGCCCCTTTACTCAAAGAATAACCTTAACTATAAGCCTGAGAAACATAAACCTAGACTTAGGGAGCCCTAGTTCTAAACCATCTATATGGCACAACAACCCTTTCGATCAGAGATCTTCTGGTCAACTTCTGAACCAGAGAGGCAAAGAGGATGCCGTTCTGATACGGGCAAACCTCGAAAGCTCAAGGGTCCTGAGCCATCCGGCCCAGTTTGGTATTGTTCTTTTACCCTATTTTACTGTTTTGGTTTTATTTGATTAGTTTTGGTCAGTTTGCTACTTTGAGTTCGTGTTTTAATGTCTTCGATCATGCTGGCTCTATAACATATTTGCGAGCGGATCTGTTCGTTTCTGAGTAGATCTAGGCACATATTTGAATTCGATTTGCCCCACTTTCTCTACCATATTATTTTCATCATTTTAAGGTATTAAAATCGGAGGAATCTTCATCGGAAGATCTGACAGATTTTCATCATAAACAGTTTGGCGCCCACTATGAGGCATTTCGAGCTTGATCGAAGTGCCAAAACACGAGTTTTAGGTACTTTTTTAAATGTTTTCAACAACAAAATAGTCCAAACAATCTGTTGTGACAAGGATCCAAGGTTTCGGTGCTGCGAAACCCTGTCTATCCTAGGCGACACCAACATTGTTGCCCGGGCAATACCATCAGTGCTGCCCATGTCCAGAGCGACACACCCCCTATCGCCCAAATGCAGAAGTCTCAGAATTTTCTAAAACTTTGCAGTCTTGTTTCAAGGACTCTCTTGTCATTGCTCAAAAATTTTCAGATAGAAAAAAAAATTTTTAAAAATACAAAAAAAAAAATTTATTAATGTAAGTCTATTTTATCTATGCTTTTTTGTTTCTTCTTTATTTTAATTTATTTCATTCGAATATTATTTGCCCTGCTTCTACAATTTATTGTAACCTTTTTTCATCAAATTTAAAACAAAATTAAAAAACATACATTTTTTTGGGCGACACCAGCAGTGTCGCCTATCCTGCAGGGGTGACACTAGTAGTGCCACCTGGGCGACACCAACAATGTTGCTTAGTTGCAGAGGTCCCAGAAATTTCGTGCGACCCCACAGGCCTCTTCTAGAGTGTATTGGCTTCCTGTTCACAAATTTTTGGCTTATAATAAAATTTTTAAAAATACCAAAACAATACATTGCTTTAGATAGGTCTGTTTTGTTCCAGGATTTTTTATTTTATTTTAGTTTGTTAATTTTTACTGGAATCATGTTTTACCGGCTTTCACCATGCTTAGTTTAACTATGTTTAATCAAAGTTAAAAATTTTAATAAACAATTTTAAAAAATACATTGAGGGTTGCTTGCACCGTGTCCTGTTCTAGTAACCCTTGAATCGGGCTACACTCGACTTAGAACGGACAGTGCTTGGTCTAACTATTCTAATTGTACCTTCTTAGGGGCTGCTTAGCCCTCCATCTAGACTGTGCTTCGAGCGAGCTTTACCTCGAAGCACGCATCACTAGGCACAGCTAGTGCCAAGTGCTCGTTTTATTTCTTCATTGCATGGTATGCTTGACAATTATTTTTTATTGTGTGCTTTTTTAGACACTGCAGCCCACACCGGACCATAAATTCTTCGAAAAAAACAAACAAATATTTTAAACACCCCCAAAATTCGTGTTAATGACATGAGGGGAACCTAGTTTTGAGAGTCGAAGCGGTTGGGATTCGCGTAACTCAACTATGAGTGCCCCTCAATAATCCTTTTCCTCAAAGCAACTCCGCGTATAGTAGGACTTGGTGAAAATCCTATAACAGGAGGCTAGGACCTATGTGGGAACCTATATCAGCCCAACCGCATTTCAATAGTTAGGAACCCACTCTCAAGCCAGGCCTACCTATAATCTAGGTCAAACATTTTCGTGTGCTGTGCCTGCTTATTTCTGTTGGTTAATCTTAGATCTCAGTCCGGACCCGCTATATGTTCGAGCTAAACCCTCTAGGTCCAAGTCCAGGCTTGTACCCAGCTTAGCTCAGGTTCGAACCAGGTTTCTTCTTGGCCCAAACTTTGGCCCCCTCCCAGTCCCAGCCGAAGGCTCGTTCCTAGTTCATCTTTGATCCAATCTAGGTCCATACCCTATCTGATCATCAAAATTCTCTAGGTTTAAGTTTAGGCATATACCCAGCGTAGTCAAGGTCTGAACCAAGTTCTACCTTGGTCGGAACTTAGGCCCCCTCTCGGTCCGAGCTGAAGGCTCGTCCTTAGATTATCTTTGATCCAATCGAGGTCCATACCTGGTTTGATCATCAAAATTCTCTGGGTCCAAGTCCAAGATTTTACTCAGCTTAGCCTAGGTCCGAACTAGGTTTCACCTTGACTGGGCCTCCTCTTGGTCCAAGCCAAAAGCTCGCTCCTAGTTCATCTTTGATCCAGTCTGGGTCCATATTCGATTTGATTATCATAACCCTCTACGTCCAAGCCAAGGCTTGTATCCAGCTCAATCCAGGTCCGAACCAAGCTCACACCCAGGTCCGAACCTAGACCCACTCTTGGTCAAAGCCAAGAGTCGTCCCCATCTAGTCTAGATCTCAGTCTAGGTTTTAGCATAGGTCTAAGCTTAAAGATTCCTCTAAAGCTAGACTAGCCTTACCCTAGTTCAGGTTCTAAACGAAAACCCATTGAGTCTAGCAAGTTTAGATTCCAGTCTAGTCTTAGCCTAGGTCTTTGTTAAGGTTTTTCCCCTAGAGTCAGACTAGGTCTGCCTTAAGTCATCGAGTCTAGATCTTACTTAAGTCTAGATTCTAGAATCCCACAAAAAGCAATCACCATGTCAGTCACTCATGGCGACTATGATGATTGCTCCACAACTGACTCTAAGCCTAACCTGCCCAAACCTAGGGACCAATATGCCACAATCCCTTGGGATTACAGCTAGTACTCAGGTCAATCCATTATCTAACGCCCAGGTCCTCAATTAAAGGTAGAGTCCCAAGGTTGCACTCTTGATCCTGAAATCTGTGTGGCCCGAAAAGTTAGCTTCATCCGAAAACTATAAATAGTCAGGGGGTCCGACCTGGCGTCGTCCTACAGGGGTTTTTAGGTAATCAAAGTAGAAGTGGAACGAGGGAAGAAATTCACGTCGTATCTAATGCCAATTCTCGGAGGTCACACCAAGATAACCTCGGGGCACAACGATCTCAAAACCAAGACCCACATAAGTTTAGGGGATCTAACTCAGCCTCAAGCCACCATAATGCAGCCCGTGATGACCTGAACACTCTATGAACTAGAGATGTCAATCTAGACCAACCTTAAGGCGGGATGGGAGTACAAGATGCACTTAAAGGTCTAGTTGACCTACATTACACAATTCATGACCTAGCTCACGGGTCGATCACAAACCAACCCCTAGCACAACTGAGTTAGTCGATTCTTCAATCGGTCCCTCTTGCTCATCCGATCCAACAAACAGTGTAATTTCTGCAATCGGTGGTGACGCCTATGGGTTAGTATGCCCCTCAGACGCAAATGTCTCAAACCGCC